GCGCGCAGCACGCGACAGGCTGCTGGCCGAGCCGATGCCGACTACCGGTTCGGTCGACCGGCAGTCCGGTCCAGATCGGTTCGGACCGGCTGGACCGATTCAATCTTATTTTTAAATCGGTTCGGTTCTTATGTTAAGGTTTCAGCCCGGTTCATGATTTTAATGGTATTTTCAGTTAAATTTCCAGGATAATTTCAGTTCAGTAAATTCATCTCCGATCAGTTCATGTTAGTTCAGTTCCGGTTATTCCGGTTAAGTCTAAATATCATGTCAGGTTCAGTAGAGCATCTTAACGAAATTAATCAGTTAAGTTAACAGTCTGAGCATAGTCATTAGTAATTATTTATATTATTTTCAGTTTGATCAGGCATCAGCACTACCGTTCAGTTTCAGCAGTTCAGGTGGGGACTCAGACTAAGTACTACATTGATTATAATCATGGTACCATGTTTGCGGTATGTATTTCATGTGAGGTATCCGCTCGGAATGGTCGCCGGTCCATTCTGGGTTCTAGTGGCCCTAGTCTTCCCACTAGAGTGTGCACATGGTGTCCGCCATTAGTTTTTGCCGGCAGATGAGCTAACGGTCAGGGTCACGTTGCGTGACGATATCAGATTCATGTTCATGTTATTACCGACTTTATGTTGAGGTTATGTATATGCCGATATCATGATGTTGTTATTATTTTCAATGTTTACATTAGTATGAGTTTCCACGGAGCACTGTGCCATAGTGCTTATTTCCCATTGTTATCATGATTTTCAGGTCAGGATGTCGGGCAGGGAGCGTGAGCAGAGGATGGCTTCAGGACTTTCATGTTTTGATTGTATATTTATTATGACGATTTACATTTCCGCTGATAATGACTTTTGACGAACTTATATTTTGACGGACTTTTGGAAAACTTTATGCTTTCAGTAATCGTATGATTTCATTAAAAATTTAAATAACGGTTTTCCAAATTAAGTCACGTTTTTAAGGTAGCACCCCGAATCAGTTTTCGCAAAGTAAAAGATTTATTTTTAAAAGACTTTGCGAAATTTTCGCACTCTGATTTTACGATAAGGCGGGGTGTTACAATGTTCGAAAACAAGTCTTTCTGGAGACGTTGCTTACAGTTTTCGTACTTGCCCCCATTTATCCTTATTTTCCTCGACTTTCTTAAACATGTACCATTTTGCTTCAAAACACGATGATGCGATAAATATATGTTATCCACATCAAATAATGGTGTCGTGTTCGAAAACAAGTCC